TCTTCAGCCTTTCTCTGCCATTTTACACTACTCCAAAGAGCTGCCCATGTTTTGCTACACTGCCCTTCACCTTTGTCAGGTTAAATCCAGCAAGAGGCCAAATAGCAAAAAGAGTCAAACAAATATTTACTTGGGAGAAAGTATACAACTAATATGCTAAGTGAAATCTCCTGGCATCCGAAGGGTTCCAGGAGAGACTGCATTTCTTTCTTATCATACTTTTTAAAGGATGTTTCTACCATTTGTAGAAAGCAGGACAATGCATACATGGAACCCTTAATAAAAACACAGTTTTGTGCAGTATATATGTTAACTACTTATACCAACCTCCCTCCCTCCCTGCTTCTCAGTAACATGTAAATGCATGAAAGAACATTAGCTTAAGCTTCTCAAATTGAGTGTTTCTAAGGTTTTCCTTAGAGATTATTAGGTCCAACTCTCATTCTTTCTACCCAGAGAAACACTACCATACAAAACCTCCTTCAAAACAGTTGAGACAAGATCTACTTTTTGTGTAACAATTCCAAGTTACATGGATGAGATGTAAAATTACTCTAATAACCACTTATAACAAATTAGCCAGGTCTCATTACTGGATTACTTATTGCAGATTAGACAATCACACTGGAAACAGGTGTGGAATGGAATGTCTGTATCACCAGCTCCAAAATCCTGCAATTACAGAGTCATAGAAGAAATAGTCAGTTCAAAGGATCTATTCCCTGTAATCTTCCTGATTACCAAAATACTTCAGGCACCCCAAAACAAAAACATACAAGCAACCCAAGAGGCTGAAACACACACCTACAAAAAACTACCAGAGTTAAAGTGAGGAAGACCAAGGGCATCACCAATGTCCTGATCCTCTGCAAGGAATTTGTTCAATAAAATTTGATTTACAGAAGTTTAGAAAAGCATGCACCACACTGCAGACAGCATTAAACCTACCAGCCCGTCACACACATGACCCCTGACAAACTGATAATGAAGGGCACAGTGGGAAGAACACCTCCCAACAACAAATCAGAGCGCTGGTTTAATCCGAGCGCTGGTTTAATCCCAGTACAGCCACTTCATGCGTTCAAATCTGCACCCAAAATAATTGAATGCTGCTAGTAGCAGTAGTGTGTGGCATTTGCTCAACACAAGTCAGAAGTGCAAATCAAGCGTTAGGCACTACAAAGAAACAGAGAACCAAACAGTGATTCTGATACAGCTACCATACATATTCATGGTCCACTCATATCACTGTGTGCACAGTTCTGGTTCACACCTCTCACAGAGGGTTAAATAGATGTGGAAAACTCTCAAAGATAACCAGCCAGGATGATCAAAGCATTTGGGACACATATCTCGCATACTTGCCCTGATCTTATGCTCATCCCTGGACATCCACTTTCAGGCACACTCAGGACCAGCATATTGAACTAGGTGGATCTTTAGTGTGACACAGCACTGCTGCACTCACCATCTTACTTCCTCCAGTACTTTAACAGTAGATGTAGGAAGGGAAAACCCTAAAAGCTGAAACACCAAAATTATTTTTTCATACATGCCCTTCCCCGTGAAAATTTTAATAAGATTGTCTAGAGAAACTGAGTTTCTCAAGTCTATTTGAAATAAGGTACACCCATAGTTCATCTCACGCAAAACTGAAGGCAAAGCCTTTTTAGCATTTCTATAGCTTTACTGTTTCACAACACTTTGCCCTGTCATTATAAGCTATTCCATCATATAGATGGAATAACTGAGATAGATGGACTTAAGTAATTGTTTTAAACTCCCAAAAGAGAAACAGCTATTAGAAAATGAGCAGGTTTTTTGCTTCCAATTCTGTGCTCTGACCAGCAGATTACAGTACTCTTTCAGAGATTACAAAATAAAAGGATAATGTATTCACACAATCTGCTGCATTCAAGGGAACTACTGAGTTCAATTCTGGTCAATACATCTCAAAGACAGGGCCACAAGGAGGAAAGGGCCCAAAGGCAAACAAGTAGAATGAGAAACCTCAAAAAGATCATTCACACAAGCAGAGGCTGAAAAGGTGAGGACTGCCCAGCTTAGTGGGAAGGTAAAAGAGGGAACAGAAGTCTACAGATAATGAATAATGAAGAGAATTCCTTTTATCTGTTTCACAAAGGTTATTAAATGAAAGAAAGTATTTGAAACTGGTAACAGAGTATAGAGTATATAAGTTAACCTGTGGCACACACTGCCACATGATATTGGAGGCAAAGAGCTAAACAAGGCTTCAGCAAAAATGCCTGAGACACGTAGAAGAACGATGGCAGCAATCCAAGTTCCATTACAGTGAATAAAAATACAGAATGAAAATAAACTCTCTTTGCAGCAGGGCATGTGTCAGCCTCCGACTGACAACACTTAGGAATACTCTTGTCAAAGTTGTTCTCCAAAAGTTTTTTTTTTGTTGTTTTGTTTTGGTGAGGGGGTTTTTTTACATCTTCCTTCAAAGTCTTTGAAAACTGACCACTGTCAGAAGTAACAGGACAGTCTCCGTGTTTGATTCAGTGCAGCAGCTACTACGTTGTAAGGAGTATATAACATAATCATTTTTAGCATCCTACTGGGAAGATACTTAGTTCTCAACATCAACAGTTCAAAACATCCTTCAAAAACAAATCTAAGTCTCCTACTGCTGAGTTCTGTTATCATGCAGAAGTAGGGACAAAGCCAACCTGAGGTTATAAATAGGCACAGCAAGGGAGGAGAGAGGGGAATTCCTGACAGCCTGGTCCTTGGAGGGAGAAATTTCAACTTTCTACCGCCGCACTGAGCCATCACATCCATTCATTCCCGGCTCAACACCTCCAAGCTACCAGTGACCACACTCCAAGTGACCACCCCTCCTGAAAAAAGTGGAGAAAACAAACTTCTATTTCAGAGCTCCTCTCCACTTCATTCCTTTACCAATAGCTTTTTTCTAATGTTTACACATGCATATATACATAGATATATAAAAATATATCTAAGCCTGAGTTTGAAGGTTTTAGCACAGTGGAAAAATAAATAAATAAATGTCAAGGTCTGCGTGTATTCAACAAATAAAAGCAGAATTATATAAAAGCAACAGCTAATAAAAAAGATTGTTCTGTGCTGTGTTTTCCATCTTTCCAACCATTATAGGAATAAAATTATCCACAGAGAAGATAGAAAACCTTTTTCAAAACTAATACAATTAAGCTTTATTACACTCTTTACTCTCTTCCCCCTTCTAGCCCCCACCACCTCCCACTCCAATCCAGACTAACGGTTGGAGGCATTCTTCTATTTTATTACCAGCAAAATGCTAGTGTTCAAGGGTCAGAAACTATCTAGTGTTTCAAGAGAGGAAAACCGTCCTTTTTATCTACTTGCTTCTGTACACGTAAGAACTAGAAGACAGTTTCTACGCAACTCTGCAGCTTGAACAGGACTATGGGCAAGCCACCTTACTCCCCTGAGAAAATCCTGTATTAAAATATCCATCACCTTGTTTAAAAAGTTAGTCTGCAGAAAGCAACATGGACCTGAAAAGGGAAACACAAAATACAACAAAGGACTTCAAAAAGAAGACAATGCAGCCTGGACACAAGCTTCTCCCCACTCCACTGTCCATAAAGGACAGATGCACATACAGATTTTCCCCGCAGTTTTCACTTCATGAAACCAGATCCAGAGAGAAGAATATAATAGAAGCACACAGCATGAGACCAAGAAATTGCAAAAATTCCCTTTGCGTATGAACATATGGACAACTGTGATAATTAGAACGATAGCTGCTAGATTGTTTGCAATTTCACTGAACAATCCCCATTATCTAGAAATAGAATTTAAAAATCTGAATGCAACACTGAGTGGTAGTTTTAATAGTTTATTTTTTAATGAACTGTATGGATTAGTGTTGCAAAATTGTATCATGTGAAATTGCTCATGGGCATGTTTTATCATCAGTGGCTTAGAAAAAAATGCTGCATGGACAATCATGCAGAAGCAGGGAATGAGAAGGGAATAGATGTGCCAATAGTATCCTACCACTTCTACAATCTGCAGTTTCCCCATGTTCCATATTCACCATCATGCTACATGTTGGTAGTAAAGCTGATCAATTTCCCCGTCTCTTTACAACCCACCTTTTTCATTGTTTGCATTTTTGTTAGTCATGTAACACAACTACAAGTCAGGGTGTATGCAACTCCCTCTCAGGAGGTCTAATTGCTTTAAATTGGAAAAGATTATTCTCCACATTTATTAAAAAATAAAGACTACTTATAACATTATTTCATTTTGCCAGGAAGTGAAAAACACATTAGTTCATAAGGAACAGCATGGCTGCTCCTATTTTTATGGCATCAATTTTTAAAAACTCATCATGGTAAACAATTAAACAGAGAAACAAATCCCATGTTTAGGGGAGAGATTCAAATCCCTAAATGGATTTTCAAAGGTCATTTCAGGCTTAAAAGATGCTTGACAGTGTCTCTTTAAATCATGTTCATTTCAAAGGCTTATCCAGCAAGAAGCAGGCAGTGCACTGCAGCACCGCTCTTTGAACTCTTGGGCTCCCCAGAGAAAAATTAATAATACAACTTTAATTCATATTTATAGCAAGATTTGTGTTGTGATTTTTTAAATTTAGGAAAGGATTTTTAACAAAAGGAGTAAGAAAACCCAAGGGTCTTCTTTTTTTTCAATTTAGCTTTCACCTAAACCCCATGGTGAAAAAGAAAATAAAGTTTGAACTACTAGAAATCTTTTTTTAAAAACAATCCAGATAAAACTCCCTTATCTCTCAAATGCAAGTTGCTCAAAAGATTTGGTTTGTATAGCTTTTTTGTCACTTAACTAGGTAAGGGGCGGGGGGCAGAAAGATACTGGGAGCTGGCAGTTCCAGGTTTCAGCACAATACTTCTTGTTTCTCTACTCTTAGGATCCACACAGATCTGCATCCGATCCCATCGGGATGCAGAGGCCACAAATAAAAGACAACTCCGCCTTACCTTCCTCTCAATGCGGGCCAACTGCTCTTTATAGAAGGCCTCTTGCCGCTTCAACTCTGCCTCCCTGCCTTGCAGCTCTACAGCCTGGGAAGAACAACGAAAGAGCATCAATAGAACAAATTAAAAATAAAAAAAATGTGAGTGCAAGAAAAGCACACGGGATGTCAAATGGAAGAAACAAAAAAAAAACCAACAACATTGCTCAGGACTGGTGTATGGGATGCCCCTCAGTGGAACTACAAGCCTTTAGTATTGCAGTTTGGATTATCCCCACAAGTTTGAAATGCTCTTATTAGTATCATACTCAAACTCATAACCTTGATTTTATTTCTCCTTATTAAATGAAAACATATAATCATAGAAAGGTGACACCTTCCTACTACCTTTTTCAGAACTCCACCTTATCCAAGTCTTTGTTTTTCATGAATCACGACGTTTATTACTCCACTTCAATGTTCTTCCTTAAAAACAAACCTTAAAAATAAAATAATACCTTAAACAAATAAACCTCAAATCCCCCACTGTATAAACATTTGCCCCTTGGAGTGTCAGAAAACTTCCATAGATTTAACACATCCCTAGAATCATGAGGAAAATGTGAAATACAACACTGTGCTGTAACATTTTTATAGCAACACACATTCTCACTGACCACGCATTTGCTTTTGCAGACATACGTAGCACTACCCTGATAATTAAGTACTCTCTCCACACGCTCTCTGCATACACCACCAGCACCCCCAGAGTTCTTCTGACTGAGTGCTGCAGATTTGGAGAGGAGATGGGGGTCAGAGCATTTCTCTTCCGTCTTCTATAAGTGTGACACTTCCACAACAGCAAACTTGGTATCCAAGCACATGCTTAAGCATCAACCTGGTCATCAGCTAAACAGTGCTCAATTTAAAAAAAAAAAAATCCATGTGGTTACAACAGCAGCTTTTGCCTTTTAGCTTTTTACAACCAGCAGCACTTCATTGCATTCCCACCCCTAAACTGAACTAGCATTAAGAAAACATGGCATTGATGGAACTGAACCAAACTTTTAAGTTTAAAAATAATAAGCAACAATAGCAAGAAGAATGGCACTTGTTTTTCTTCCCCCATCCTACCCCAAAAATCTCTGGGGCCACATTAAGTTATCACCAGGCAGAAGACCTTTCAAAACCAGAATTATTAGTCCATTTAACATGAACACAAACCCTGCTAATCTATAGCATCCCAGCCGCATTGCTCTTAACTTTTAATGATGATGGTACAATCACAGAAAATGCTGGTCCAATACGATTAAGCAGCTGGGACAGAAACATCCCCGTGGGCTCAGACCTGTCATTTTATGGCCAACAGCCATTGTTAATGAGAAAAATCACATCTGAAAGCAAGTTGCTGTGCATTTCCTTCTTTCTGCTCCCCTGCTGATGGAAATACAGTGGTATAATAGGGCTATAGATGAGATTTTAAGCTAGGCAGTGAGGGACGGTTGATAAGTAAGCAAGAAAAGGAGTACATGAAATAGGGGGGGGGTGTCTGTCTGTTGATTTTTAAAGGAAAAAGAAATATTTTTGGTTCCCATGTTTGTCATCCTAGTCAATAGGGCCACAGTAATGCACAAGCACTATAGACTCCTATCTAAATCCTCTTGCTCTCAGACACACTTGATTAAAGGCAAAATCTCTGGCTTTGTTTTAACCATGTACCTTCCAGTCTGCAAACCAGCTGAAATAGGATGGGGAGAAGGATGAGAATGAGCTGCCTCATACATGTAGGCTGACCAAGAGATACCACAGCAACAACAGGGGCACTGATGGGCACTTCCTACGTGCCAAAATTATTACCATTTTCTGATAAGACAACCATAGCTATCCTTCTGTACCAATATCCATCATCTATACAGAAAAGGACTAAGCAATTTCAACTGAAATGAAATGAATAAAGAAGGCAGAGTGGTCTGGTAGATGACCAAAGGACCCTATTCTCCTGTCGATTTTCTGCATAACACCCATAAAATCAGCTTACTAAACAAGAGACTTGTGTTTCCTTACAAAGAACATAAATAAGGAAAAGAAAGAAGAGTAACATAGTACTGACCCCTCTGCACAGTTCAGATAGAAGGGGCTTTTTGTGTGAAGAGTAATACAATGCCGAGGGGGAGGGGGGGAAGAGTCAAAAGATGAACTTTTAAAAATGCAAAAAAGTTTCTGCTTAATCTAAATAAATTATGTGGCAGTGCTACTCCCCTGGGGTAGCAGACTATTCTGTGAGCAGTGAGCACAAAACCAACATGTGTAACAATACTGGTGGGTAAGAGACTTTATTCTGTTTCTGGCAAGACATGGATCTATGTATCCACACACCAACTCATCTTTTCATCATATGTGGTTGCCTGACCTCATTCATCAAGAAATTCAGCATATTTATCCATATGACACCTCTGGAAGGGAACACAAACCAAATACCTAATCTCTCAAGCAGGATGCTGAGATGCAGACTCATTAGAGGTGTGCTGATCTGCATGATGACGACCCACGGACTCCCAAGCAGACCTGACTGAAGCTGGGCTGCCCACAGTGAATAAATGCCTCCACAGCAACGCACTCTGCAGCACACAGACATTCTGTTAGTGACTTCCCTAGGGTCTTTCAAATCTGGATCTCCCAACTGCAGACTACGCCCTCAGTCTACTCACCGTTCTTCCCCCCAAGTAATTTCTCCTATATGTCCCACTTATCTCTCCATTATGTCCAACTTATCGCCCATAAGTTGCATGATGAACCAGGGGCTGCGCAGAAAGCTTACTCGCAACTCAAACATATTTTCAATGCCTTGCTTTTTTTCCAAGGCTTGCTGATGTTTCAGTGCATTGAAGTATACTGAGAAACATTGTGACAGATCTGCTTGAAAGTCGCTTTCTGTTTCCTTCTATCCCCAGCTATTATTACTAGAAACTTTAGTACACTTTATGGTGATGTTTGAAGTATGAATGGTACAGTCAGAGCATGTGGCATTTGAAATATTCACTGTTCCAAACTGGGTTAGGCAACAAGGGACATTTTGTATGAATACAGGATATTTATTAAGAGTTCCTCTAGTGCTGCTGCTTATTGCCTCTAACTGAAGTCAGGAGCCTGTGATGTCCCAGACAGAACTGGCTACTATGGAGATGCTTAAAACTTCACAGGCGATTGAGATTGCAGGTGCCAAAGCAAGCACCAGATACACTTTTCACAAACAACGTTAGAACTAAAGAAGGAAGGAGAAGGGATGACATGTGTGATAACACACTGGTTTGAAAAAATCATATTTCAGAAAGTTTCATTTCACATCCATGCCACAGAAGCTACATCTGAGCTTAAACATATCATGCAAGAGATGACGAAAGCCAAGAGATGACATCTAAGAAACTGTAGTGTAGGACACAGCAGAGAGTGTGATGTCCAAGGAGTGTGAAAACAGAAATAAAACAGAGGGAGAAGAGGAAGAGTGTAGTTAGTTGTAGCACACATGAATGCACCCAAAACTTAGAAAAGCAGCATGGGCAGCACGTATTTGCAAAACAGAATGTATGAAATAAGCAACTTTCCTCTGTACAAAAACTAGGTATAATCTAATAATAGACTATATATACATATATTCAGGAAATGCTCAAGAATCCGCTGTGATGGTGTCAGAAGTTACAAGCACTGCATTCTTACAAAAGGACAGTGAAGGTATACTACCAGCATGCTACTACAACTTCCATGGGCATGGGCGGGTTGGGGACTCTCAAATACTTCCTATGTTTTATCTTCACACTTCTTGCACAGCCCAGAGTTTTTCAGGTTATCTCAGTGCTGCCTCGAATGGTGACAAAGAGCTAGGGCAGAGTCATGTGTGATCCCCTGCCTCCTCCTCTCCCTTTATCAAGTAACCCGTTTAGAAACAAACTGTGAAAAACATTTCTAGAGTTACGCATTACATACTGGCTTAACTAAAAAATTCAAGTACTGGCCTGCTAGCTGACAGGCAGGCCAAAAGAAATATTTTACAAGCCTCTTAATTGAGCTAATGAAATATTATTGGTTCACTCTCTATGAACAAAGCCAGACGCTCTTAGCCTCGTCCTGAACTGACACCAACATGTAACACATCAGACTGTGCAACTCATCTTCTAGAGCTGGGCTTCACTCTAGCTACATCTATTCACAGATTAGCTTTGGCTTTGCCCACCATGAAATATCACCAGATTTTTATTCCTTTTAATCACAGCCCCTTCTCATCACCTTGTTAAACATGAAAACCAGGAAGGAAATCTGCTTGAAAAAAAGGGCTTCATGGCAGGGTCAGATTACAGTAGGGAATGTGGCACCCAGGAATAAATGCAGCAGTAGCACAGCCCACAGCTGACGGCTACCATCAGGCTGTCTGTCTCTGCAATACTGTTGGGATTCTGGGATTTCGGGAGAGGGCACGGAGGACACACTACTGGAGGGGAAAAAAAACACCCCTCTCTGCAAAGGGCAAGTTGAGCTCGGAGGAAAGGTCCATACTTCAATCTATAAAGAACTTCCTCAAAGGCAAGTCACAGCACTTGGCAAGATTATTGCAAAAATATTTATCTTCTTGGCAGAACACATTCACCAGTCACAGACGAACTAGTGAGATGGTGCCTAGAGAATCAGTCAGAGGCAATCCAGGGAAAAAAGCTACAAGGATAAAGGAAATTTCCTTTAGTCTCTATCAAATGCCTTGTTTCTACACCATTCTGTCTTTGCTGAGAGGAGTTACCATCTTCCCCCAAAGGTATCCAGCAACATCTCTGCAGCAGCAGAGCAGAGATGTTTTGGCTGGGTACCTCAGCTTGCCACACTTCACAACTGCAAATTCTTATACCTCATGCTTTCCCATGTCTCTTCCAGTCCTGGTAGCAGTCCAAGTGGCAGGGGAGAAAAACAAATGTCATTAAAGGCTCCAAGACTAGAAGAAGGAATTGACAGCAATGCACTGAAGAACAGAACTAGCTCCAAAATTAGTAGCTGGCATGTTCCTGACCAAGCCTAGAGGGAATGACACCGCTGAAAGGGCAACACAGACAGCAAGAGTCAGCTTGC